GTAGTCGTCGTAGTAGTCGTCGTAGTCGTCGTCGTCGTCGTCGTCGTAGTAGTAGTAGTAGTAGTAGTAGTAGTAATTATTGCTATTACAATTCTTCTTCTTATTATTGTTATTAGTGTTACTATTATTATTATGGGGAAAAAGGGCTCCTTGTGCTCACTGGCACGTGGCCGAGGCCGCAGCTCGCGAGATCCGCGGGCTGGCCGAAGGAGCTGACGGTGCCCTGGCTGAGTGCTGTGCTGTGAGCTCCGGTGTTTGGAATCAGGTTCTACAAGCAAGTCGGTTCAGTTTTCACAGCCATCCAGGGCCCTGCTCCAGGTGCTGGTGATCAAGTCCTATTTCTTGCTGTCTGGCACCCGGCACATTGCGTCAACTGGGCTTTGCCAGCACCTGGGGCACCCTCTTGCAGCGCAGGCTTCTCAACTATGTGGCGCAGTTTGCCATTCTGTACATGATCGCAAAGGCGCGGCGGCGACGAATGCCTCGAACAAAATATCCTGAAACGATGCTCCCTTTCTGGTCCTTCTCGCGACGCATGCTCCGTGAGGAAGAGATGATCTGGGATCTCTTCTCCGGCCAAATGTTCTTGTGTGCTTTGGCTGATACTCTTCTAGACGTGGGACCACGCGGCACAAGTCCTCGATGTGCGTAGGTAATCAATCATGTGGGTGGCAAGCACGGCCTCCAGCCTGCAGAGCTGTGATCGTGAGGTGACTTTGGTACAGATTCTCCTTGTGGCCAGCTCAGATCAGGGGATGTCGGCTTCCACGAAATGGCACAGCGTGGACTTGATTGTGCTTCGTATCGCCCAGCTTGCCCGGATGGGCCCAACTGCATCGGCCCGGGCGGTACCGTCTTCACCTCCATGAGGCCCGCCCACATGCAGTGTTGAAGAGGGGGGACTGCGACTTTTCCAGCAACCAGGTACTACAGCTGGAACCAGTGGGTTTCCCGAACCTTTGCCAGAGACTCCATGAGGGTGCGCTGCTTTGCATTGGAGCGTTTGCCTTGAGCAGTCGTCCTCAGAAGCAAATGCTGCTGGCACAGGCGGTTTTCCCTGAGAAGGCTGCTGACATCGGAAAGCGGCTTGGTTTTCAATGCACTGAAGGAGGCTGTTGAAATTTCACGTTCTGACAGAAGCACCTCTCTTTGTGGTGCTGCATGCTCCATGCTGAGTCAGGTATGTGGATCCTGGGGAGTACGGCGTGGAAAGTAAAAATTGCGACTTGGCAGCTGCGGCGACGAATTCAAGCCCCGAAGCATCCTGAAGCCCATGGAACCGGAAACGGATGTAGTGACTTTCATGTATTGAAGTATCCGAACGCGAAGTGTGCACATCAAGCTTCTTGGCAAGGCCGCATACTCTGCTGCATGCTCTTTATTGTCAGCGTGCTGGATGACGTGATGCTTGTCTGCAGGCAGTTTGCCGTGGCAAGATGCGGCAGGATGTGTTGATTCTGCCGATATCCTGACTCCCAGCATCTAAGGATTGGTACGTTCAACATGGCCAGAGTTCTGATAGACGTGCCCACGCGGGTGGTGTCCTTCTATCGTTACGCCAGTGTCAACCGAAGTTCCGCCGGATTGTGCCTCTTTGACCCAAGGCGGACCTCTGGATAGACTACGAGCCTCCCGGTGAGAGCTGGGCCAGCAAGGAGCACCAGAGAACAGTTCCCAACCACGGTGAAACTCAGAAAGTTGGGCTTTCACGCTCTGTTGTGGGCCGAAGGGACGGATTTGGGAGACCAGAGTTATTCAGGGTGCATGGGCTCGAAGGGACGCGAGCGGTTGAGTTAGTTAGATCATTTGAGTGGCAGCAGGGGCACCACTGACAACGTCCGCCGTCTTCTTTGAAGGACCATGCCAAGACCATAGCCGGCAAGACTGAAATCGACTTTGTGAAGCTGAAGATCGCAGGCACACCGCACGACACCCTCCTAACAGGAGGCTTCCAAGAAAGCCAGTATAGGCATCTTGAGCCCCATGATCAGCGCGAGAAGGAATGCCCTTGTTCTGGAAGATCGTGAACATCGTCATCATCCTGCCAAGCGCCGAGAGTCGCTAAGAACGACCGAACGACTGGAGCGAAATTCCTTCTTTTCCACCAGGCTGCCGAAGATGATCCTCTGGAAGGTCACCGCGCAAGCGGGGATCTGCTTCCTCATGGAGACCCAAGGCCAGGGCCAGGGCTGGTTCCGGTGTGCTTGCCTTCAGCTTCAAGCTTTCACACGAGCTTGGGGTCCGCTTTCAAGCTGGCAGGCATCGAGGATGTGGTGGTCAACGCCGTGGGCCTTTCTTTCATCCTCCAAATCGATGAGCTCCTGTGCTTGGAGCACCTTGGCGAAAGTCGGCTGCCACTCGTACCATGATCTAGCGGCTCTAGCGCAGCTACACGGGGCTTGCGTCGCCCTCTGCTTCCTGGTTCCGCCCGCGCGAGTCTCGAGGCTTATGCCCTGGTCGGCGCGGGGAGCTGAGCCAAGAAGCTCCAAAAGAGTTCTGCAGGGGGGGGACCGCGCTTGAACCACACTTTTAGAAAAAAGCTTGCGGAGATAGGCATTTCATGGAGCTCAGGGTCCAGATCCTCCACAAGCTCGAGGTCCACCTTCTCGGGGAGATCCAGGAAATTGAAAGCCTGGACCGGACCTTGTAGGAGTTTCTAGAACCCGCGTCTCAAAGCAAACCATGTGGCAACCAGAACGACATGCAACGGCAGCTTCAGATTCGGCAGGATCATCTGTCGGACGAGGAGCTCTTTGCAAAGGCGAAGCTTTTTGGGGTAGAGGGGGGAAACACGAAAGCAAAGGTTTGGGGTTCGGTGCTGATTCTCTCCCTTCCTGCCAGAACCAAGAGCAAATCGACAACTCCTGGAGTGTCAACGACATCTACGAGATGATCCCTGTCAAGATGGTCGTGGCCATTGCCATTGCGCCGCTCGCCTCAGTGAGACAAGGCTTAAAGATTCCTCAGAGATGGGGAGCCGCGTTACCGAGCCAGGTCGACTTTCATCTACCACTACTACTACTTCCACTGCGTTCGCAACGAGGCAGGTGTCTTCGTGTTCCTTCGAGTCCCGACCCGAGCCGGCGGCAAACGATTCGTCTCGTGGCGTCTTCAGGCTGGTGGCTCTGTCTCGCATCCCATGGCTCTGCCGAAGGGCACGGACTTGCCGCTGCTGAGCGCCTATCTGCTGCCGCTTTGCAGCAAGAGCACTCACGTCGCACTGCGTCGCAACATGACTTTGAGTCTTCACCTCATTCACCTGCGGCGCAGCCAGGGAGTTTGTGGGTTTCGAGCACGAGGCCACATGAGAGACTGGAAGGGAGTGCCCGACATGGTCAAGCCTTAAAGTCTTGTGATCCACGGGCAGGATTCTGAGTTCTGGACGATGCCCTCCGTCCCTGGCCACGCTATATGACAGGCTTCCCTGATAGCAACTTCACCTGGCGAAGGCCTATGGCTCGCCAGTTGAAGAAGCTTCCGCTGCAGCGGCCTGATAATGAACCTTCGTCGAACTGCCGGCATCAGACGCAAGCTTGTCACGAGATTCCTCGATCCAATAATGGTGGTTTGTGTGTGGGTTACAGCCGCGTGCGACTTGCGTTTGGACGGCGCTTTCGGTCTCGCTCGTGAAGCCGAAACTGGCTTCAACGTCTCACCTGCGGTACGGACCTGCCTGCCGGGTGCTGGTGGAACAAGTGCGAGTTGCGTGTCGTGGATGTGGGTTGACTGGTCCAGCTTAAATGCAAGTCCAATGCTTTGAGCAAGAGGAGGTCGTTGCTTTCGTCTCCAGCGTGTGCCTCTGACTACGGGGGGATTTTTCCAGAGACTGGCTCTCCTGCCGGAGGCGGCGAGGGCCAACAAAATCGAAACAATGGACGAGCAAATGGCTTACGCCATGGCGGAGTTCGGAGACTACGGCGAGTGCTTCGTCGCAGAGGAGCCAGAGGCACTCCCACTATGCCTGTGCCACATGCACATGTGACTTGCTTTGTCGTGGGAGTGAAGGTCAGGACGATCTCCATGGAGGAGGTGGCGAAGCACAGCTCGCCGGAAGACTGCTGGGTCGTGCTCTATGGACACTTCGGCCGCAGCGAGTCGAGACACACCGGTAGTTACACACATAGCCACCAAATAGAGACCTGAGGACGGGTCTATGACCTGACGAAGTTTGCACTGGGGCACGTGGCGCGGCTGATGCTTGAACACACGTTTCCATAAAAAAACCTAAAGTATCGCCTTGAGGGCCTTTGTTCGAATTGCAGCATTCGGACGTTCTCCGGTGACTCCAAGGTGGGGGGCAGCAAGCTGATCACCGACCTGGCGGGGAAGGATGGCACCAACGTCTTCGAAGCCTCTCACGGCGAAAACGTGCTGAACAGCATCCGCGGCGAGTGCTGCGTTGGCGAGGTGGCAACCGACGTCACAGTCAGCAAATGGGAACCATGAGCAGAAATTACGATGTCGTGAGATAAGAGCATGGGAAGGTGTAACAGTGAGGTGTGTCACGCCTGTGCCGTTCTATCGGGGAACGGGACTGACGGGGAGTGATCCAGCTTTGCCTGGTGCAGGTGGATGCAAGCACTGTCTTGGAAGAGCATCGCGTGACGGCGACGCTGCGTGCGCGCGCCTAGGCCTTGAGCTTTCCTGAGCCAGGCGAGATCACGGGTGCACTGAAAATCCAATCGACTGAACATGTAGGCTCTGTAGACTGCAACCGATCCACCTTTACCAGGAAAGTGCTTGTGCGAACCTTCTGAACGCGAGAGTGTTTTGCCCCGTGGTCGTGCTCCTGCGATTCGATACCGATAATGTCCCACCCGTGCAGTGCATGAGCCTGCAGCTGTGCATAGAACCCAGAATATGAGACCCATAAGCGCCCATGAAGACTGTAGGTGGCAAGCGGGGCATCCTGGGAGTGTCAACTTTGATCTATCATCCTTGCTACTGTGTTCCGCTTGCATGGTGCTGGTACTCATCTTGGTGGCCGCTTTAAGTTTCCGAAAGCGGCCCAGCATCGGGATGAACACCGCATCTAGATGTGGTCAAAGGCCAGCTGTTCGGGAGTCTGGCGCCCGTGCAATCGAAACATTTCCAGCAACAAAGCAGCATCAGACATCCACAAAGCCGTCATGTGCCCGCCTGGACAGACTCCTGGGAGGCTCATGTTTCTTCTGCATGGCGTTCGTCCCATTGCATTGACCACCGACCATGTACAGCTTCAGAGTCACATTCATACCACTTCGCTGCGGTTTCTGGCACCGCCCCAATCTCGAAATGGTATCCGTTCCACGTGTGACTTGCTCAGGGCGGTGAGATCTAACTTGCTGCAAGCCGCGTGCCGGTGTTCATCTGCGGCTCAGCTTGAGGGCAGCTGCCCCCCCCCCCCCCCCCCCCAACGCGGCCACGCAGATTCAGGAAAGCAGGGCCAGACTCTGCAGACCCGGACCCGAAGCGACGGGTCCCAACCTTAGGCCCTAAACCCGGCTCTACTGGTAGCATCAGCACAAGAGAGCGCAAGAGAGAGCACACGATCCTTCTGCCAAAGCATGGCGAGCCCTGAGCGAGCTCTGAGGCTGGGCAAAAAAAGGGCTCTTTTGATTGATAGGAGGGTCCTTTGCTGGGCATAGAGCGATGGAAACATGAAAGGCAGGATGAGAGGCAAAGAGCTTGATTGCACATTGACATGGTGTCCCCAAGTGCTGTGGTTTTGGCGTACAAAGTCTCGTTACTAATTGCGTGAATATATAAACGCCATGCACTATATACGTGTCCCGTACTTTCTGCTTTAATTCCTTCCGTGCACACTGCACGGAACCGTGGGGAGTGCGAGCGCCTCCCATGCAGGTAGCCACCTCCGGGAAACCGGCGTGATGACGCGCCGGGGACCCCACCAGGGCCTAGGGCCGAGGAGTTCGTCCCTGCTTTGGGACAAGGCCGTGCCGCGCCCGACAGCGACGGCACCAAGGCAAGAGCCCAGAAGCCCCAAGCGAGAAGAAAGCAAGGAAGGCGCTGGTTTTGCACCCGCCCCCTCCCTGAGAGGCCACAGCGCGGACAGGCCTGGGAAAATAGATGTCTCGGTCTGGGCTTGTTGAGCCCTGGAGTGTTTCACGTCTGGTTAAGAGAGGTCCAAAGCTGGCTTTCCGCTTGGTGGACCGCGGCAAGGCCTGCCCAAGTGGCAATCAAACCTCTAAACCTTTTGTCGGAAGTTGTTCTGTCACCGGCAAACGAGATGTGTAGTGAGTTCCTGTTGGAATTGCGAATCATGTGTTCCAGCTGTCAGCCAGACATCTTCCTGTGCACAATGCCTCCGAGCATTGAGCCAGTGAAGCTAAAGCAACTTCGTGTTCTGCAAAATCCCTTGCTGGCTTAAGGTTTGAGGTATTGTCTCAGTGCTCACTGGTCCCTTACATCAAGTGCGCATGCACACTCCATGTTGACGGTACCGGCTGGTGCAAATTGCTGCCTAGTGATGGTACTTGTGCGTCGTCGTTCGTTTCATGTCACGATCCTTGCTGAGTCTTGGTTGTAGACATAATCTCCAAATCCAAAGACCGATCAGAAGAGTCAGAAGCGGAACCGACAAACTGAACCCCAGGCTAAAGCCCAAAGCCTACTGACATATGCAGACCCATTCCAGTCCGTTGTTGGCTTCACATCAAGCCGCAACAAGTAGCCGTGCCAGGCTGCAGAGTCCACAGCAGGCAGGGGGGGGTCTAGTGCTCATAGTTTTACACGGGCCATACTGGCTTTCTCGATTCTTCTGGGGGGAATTTGCGACGTTGGGCACCTACGAGACTTCATTGGATCCTGCCTTCACTGTCTCTGCCGCATGAGGTGACGACGCAACTTGGCAACCACTGAGTCGTTTTTGCGTTTGTTCTCGTGGGTAGAGTCAGGAAGGATAATTGTACGGGAAAGCAGACATTCAGAAGAGGGATTGCATTTTGCGATTTTCATTTCTGCTCGCTTGGGAAGCCGCATGCCAAAAGGGTTGAGCGGACATCAGCCCAGCCTGTTGGCTCACTTGCGGGGTGTGCTAGGTGCTAGGTGCGACGATGCCCCAAAGATGACAAGTGTTACAGTTTCAGGTCTTATGCGAGGGATCCATGGCCAAAGCCCGCTAGGCCTGCAGCACCCGAGACCCGAAAGTCCTCCCACGCATCCAAGGCATTCCCGTGCCTTGCTCGCAATTAGCAAAAGAAAGCCTTCGTGTGAAGAGTTAGGTCTGTTCCAAAACCCGTGCAGCTGCGCCATGCTGCACGCATAGCACTGCCTGCGATGGCAGGGTGCCGGGCTCGGACGTGCCAAGGCCGGGTGCGCCGGCGAGGAAGCGGCGGAGCCTCAAGGCCACGGCGACGCCTCTTCTTCGGACTCCAAGAGCTGAAACTGCGACTGTGAAGCGCCAGGACGACGAGCAGCTGCGGAACCGACGAAGCTTCACCGTGGAGGCCAGGGAGGCACAGCCCCTCACAGCCCCTCACATGATCCGGACCGAACTGTCCAGGAGCTGGCAGCTCTGGCTGCGCTGGCAGGTACGGGACTACAGGCGGTGTGGTTGCCGGTTTGAAAAACACGGTCTCCATGGGCTCACAAGCCTTTTGCTCATGGTGACTTTGTTCCTGTTTCGGATCATCTTGCCACCACAGCACGCAGCCCTTGGCAGGCCACGAAGGCGGCAGCCGCTGATGGCCTGGGCATTGCTGCAGCATTGCGCGGGAACCCAGTGCAGCGTCTACCGCACTTGCTTAGGACTTTTCTGAGAGGCTGCCTTTTTCACCTGCGTGCGTGATGCTGGGTTCTGGGTCGCGTGTTGTCGCTCGCTTGTCCAACTCCTAGCGTTGTGGGGGTTTGAGGATGCCTGGCTCTTTCGCCAAACGCCTGCAAAGAACTGGGAGTCATGTTCCAGGACCAACCATGTTCCTTCTCGTGTGGGTCGAAACGTGCGATGAAGGGGGAATTCAAAAATGGTGGCTTTCACGCGAAGTCTGCTGAGCACGTGACGAGTCTCGCGTGCTGTGCCCTTGCGTCGCAGGGCCTCGGCTCTGACCCCTTCGCGGAAGCTGGGCCTGGCAGAGAAGGCGGCGCTTATAAAGATAAAAATAACAATGATAAGAAGACGACGACGACGACGACTACTACTACTACGACGACGACGACGACGACGGCGACGACGACACGATTAATAACAATAATGACAGCAGCAACGTTTTAATAACAACAACAATAACAATACTACTACTACTACTACTACTACTACAACATAATAATAACAATAATAATAATAATAATAATCATAATCATAATAACAATAACAATAACAATGATAAAAATAATAATCGCGATAAGCAATAAACAATATAATGTTAACAATAATATTGATCGGCTTCGGCTTCTTCCGAGGGGGCTCAGGGTGTAAGCTTCCGCCGCTGAGCCCTGTTCCGCATGGCCCATGCCGAGGGAACATGGTAGTGCAGGCTGGATAGCTGCTACAGCAAGTGATGGGTCGCTCACATGAATTGAGAGAAGTCGACAGCTGAAATAGCTGTGAGCATGGAAATCCCATCCGTCCTATAGAACCTGGTGCACAAGGCTTCATGTCTATACCTGTTGTGCACGAGGCAACGTGGTAAAGATGGCTCGAGACCAACCTCTATGGAACAGGTCATAAGTTAACCCTAACTTCGCACCAGTAGTCGGCATGCGGAGGTACTGCTCAAGGCCATGCTGGAGCCTGCAGAAGCTGAGGAGAACTTCAGTCCAGGCGCACAATGGCTTCATTGCCAGCTGCAGCCAGTGCAAATCATGACCGTGCAGCTGCGACTGCCAGTCCTGCAGGATGATGATCATAATGATGATGGCCCTAACATCTGTCTTTTTAGATTTGTTCTGCTCCGATCACCCGATGCCGTTCTGTGATGCCGCAGCAAGGCAGAACGTAGTCATAGGCAGAAGTCAAAACTGTGCCAAGAATCAGAAGACACACGTGCAGTGCGCAGAATGCCGACCACTACATGCCGAAGGGCTCGTTGCACATATGTTGATTGAAGTTTCCAAGCCCATCGAGGTTGTGGAGTAGACTTCAGCCATGGACGAGCCTGCCGTCGAGTCCGCCACCGACAGCGACCCCACCACCGTGTCTGTCGAGATGGACAAGCTGCGTTTTTTCCTGGATTCAGAGTTTGCCCATCAGCGCGAGATGCGAGAGAGGCAGGATGGCCTGCTTGCTGAGATCTACGACAAGGTCTGTCAGACTCATGAGTTTGTAAAAAAAAAACTGCCCAAGAACCCTTGTGAATCAAAATTGCGGAGCAGCTTTCTAAGTTCAAACAGCAGCACTTAACCCTACGACAAGGTCTGTCAGATCCAGGCCAAACCACTGCATCTGCGTCCTGAGCCGCGAACAAGCCTGCCAAGTTTCGACGAGGAGCGGAGCATCGCATCGCTGTACTCGCCAGGTAGCCTGGACGGTCCACGGGCCGGCGGGCGGGGCCGTGCGAGCACCGAAGGCTCAGTGTCATCTCAGATGGACGACTCGGCCAAAGACCACTCGGACGGTGACAGCTTGCAGCCTGATCGTCAGCTTGCACAGAAACGGAAGGTGCGAGGCAGCTATCGGCACTCTTTCGTACGCAAAGCTCAGCTGAAGCACGAGGAAACAGCTGCTGCAGCTTCGCTTCACCTGGCGAGCCTCAAGACGTTCAAAAGCCTAAAGGCAGCACCCGAGACCGGCGCACTACGTGCCATCGGGCAAGCAGTTGTCACATCGAGCATATTCACAGGAACGATCACGTTCTTGATCTTCCTGAATGTGGTGCTGCTTGGTGTTGAAGTTGATATGTCTGCAAACCTGGGGCAGGACCAGGTGCCTTTGTGGTTTGGAACAGTGAATGCCATCATCGTCCTGATTTTTGTTCTGGAGGTCTTTCTGAAGTGTCTGGCATATGGGTTGCACGAATTCTGGTGCGGTGCTGATTCCAAATGGAACATTTTTGATAGCTGTATCATCGCAGTCTCGGTCGTGGAGACCCTCATCGATGCTCGGCAGCACGAATGTAGCCCTAGACTTTTAAACAGAGCCCACTAGTCTACGCCCTTGACCCTGCAGCTGTCAAAGGAAGGGCTCAGTGCTCAAGTGCCGAGGATCTTTGGGCCCAAATGATGGCCCATTCCATGGCGACTTCGACACATTTGCTCCTCGGAGGAGAAACTGAAGAAATCTGAAGTCGCTGTCCCCCCCAGCTGTTATGTCTGTACTGTGGTGGCTTCTTGGCAGTCTTGCTGGACGAAGTTCCGTGCATTGTTTCCCCCAAAGCCGAACACCCCTCATCAGCCAGCGAGGTCGGCAGCTAGAAGTGTAGTGCCGCCCGTGCTAAGCCCGCCAGCATGTGAGAATTACTACATCGAGGCGCCTCATGCGCTCGCTGCGGTTGGCACGCGCACTTCGAGGTGTCCGTGTCGTTCGGCTCTTCCGACGCTTGGGCCGGCATGCTAGAGCTCTCGGCCGTCTGGCTGTCAGTGCACCTTTCATTTCAGGCTGCATGGTTTCGGGTTCTGGCCTGCCGCTGTCATTGCCAGGGGGACTCTGTGTTCGACTCCAGTGTCTGCTCAAGACCTTTCCGTTGTCCTAACCTTGGGCTCTTCTATCACCCTCAGCCTTAAGCATTCTCTCCGAAGCCCTCGTTCCAGTGCGTATGCCCAGCACACATCACATGTGCACCGTTATAACGTGGTTCTCCGAGGATATGTGAGTGCCTTGCGAACCCTGGTGCTCTGCATCGTCAGCACTATGGCTTCTCTCGTCTGGACCCTGGTGCTGCTTGTTCTCATCTTCTACACCTTCGGGGTGATCCTCACCCAGGCCAGAACGAATGCATAGAGTGATGTGCAGTGTAGAGATCTGGAGATCAAGCATGGTATCCCTCAGCTGGTGACGGACCATTGCCGGGATGCCGCTATCCTCAACAGCGGCGGAGATCTCAACGCCGTACCCAGTTGTGATGCAAGCTTGGCGCGCTACTGGCAAAGTGCCGCTTGTCCGGCATATGGGCTTTTGCCGATGCTTGGAATATCATGGCACAAAAGCCGAGGTGCCCCACAGCATGCTCACCCTCTTCATGTCCATCTCTGGTGGTGTAAGCTGGGAGGACGCAGCTCCACTGTGTTCGCCACTGTCTGTCCATGAGCGAGTCAGCTGAAAGGACGCGCTGAGGCCGCTGGAAGCGGTCTCGCCGCTGGCCGTGGGGCTGATGGTCTGCTACATAGTGCTCACCGTGGGGCCCTTGCTGTTGCAGGATGTCGCACTGTAGGCTTGCTCCGCCCTTGAAGCGACGCTCAGTGCAGTGGGTGCTGTCCTTAGGTGCTGGCAGTCCTGAACGTGGTCACGGGAGTGGCTTTGATGCAGCTTCCCTTAGCAGTTCTTCTCTTTGCGTTCGTCTCGCGCTGTCAGGACACACCACGAAAGCTTACCGAGTTGTCGAGACGGTGCGTAATTTGCCCTTTCGCTCATCACAATGCACTCCTACCCTACTTCAATAGGTTGGTCAGGGCGGTTGGCTGCATCCACTTGGGGTTTGCCGGAACTTGAGCAAAGCCACTTATTCATTGTCATTCTCCGCGGGCCAAGGTTTTCTGTAACACCGCCATTGAGAGCGCACATGCTGACAAGGACCCCTTGTAAGACTCGGTTCGGAACGAGACAGGCTACTTAGTGCAGGACGCAGTCCGTATTCGGACCCATTTCCAGGTATACGTTGTTGCAACTCGACATGTCTATGTTTCTTTCCACAGTGGCTCGTGTGGAGGCGAGGTGAAATTTGAACGGCAGTTTTCCCTTGATCTATGGAGCCAAGTCGTGTTCTCCGCTGTCCAAGACATGAAGAAAGAAGACTATTTCGTTTGCCTCAGCCGCAGGACGTCGCTGCTATCAAGCAGATCCACAAGCAGGCGGCACAAGTGCAGAGCTTGCAGCAGCTGGGCAAGGTCTTGCACACCGCTCTAGGATCCTCACTCGGAGGTTTGTGAGGGCGTGCCTGGGTCGCCGAGGAACATCTTTCGTGAGATGGATACGGAGAACTGCAACGTGGTCAGCTTGCAGGACCGGCTGAAAGGCGCATGCCCACCATCCCCTTACGTGTGGGTCCCTGCAGGAGTTCGAGGAGGCCATGAGCCAGCAGAAGCCGCCTGGCCTTCTCTGCAGATGTACTTGTAGCAGCATAGTCTCCCCCCGGTCCTGAGGATGGCGAGCTTCCTGCAATCCATGGGGATCTCCACGGAAGACGTGTGGACGCTCTTTATGCCCCTCGAAAGGATGTTCGAGACTCCTTCTCGTAATGCGAACACCATCACGATCTCAAGGATCATGGATGCTGATCGCAGTGGTCTCATTGACTTGGAAGAGCACCTCGTCTGGATAGCTCGATTGAGCCAGGTTTGCGTTGAAGCGTGGTCAGCGATCATGCTGAGGTTTGTCTCCGGCTGCATGAAGAAGCTTTGATCGCATTAGCTGCGGGATCGCCGTGTCTGCCACTTCCCACGCCCTGAGGTTATGTGGGCCTGCCAAGAGCTTGCAGTTCGCCATGATGAGCTACGAGAACAAGCTTACGCGGCAGGCTTCCGGCTTGCACATGGCAGTTTCCATCGCTCAAGTCTGCTTTCGAACCCTGCGTGGAGGCTTGTAGTTAGGCTTTCAGCCTCAAGCCCCTTGAGAGGCAATCAAGCAGCTCAACGTGGAAACCGCAGACATCCGGCGCGGTTTGGCCAGGCTGGAAGCGCGGAAGCTCGGCCTCGTAGGCTCTCGGCTCTGCTTGCAGGGCTCCTCTCATCTCCTCTCGCTAAGGGCTGCATCCCCGCAGCGGGAGCCCGTGGCACTGAAAGTCGTGACGCAGCTCTGAGAGCGCAGATCAGATCCGTGAACAGCGTGGACACGAAGTCTTGCAGTGATTCTAAGAGTGCCGCAGTAGCGGCTGAAGTTCCAATCTCCCAGATTCTGTGGGCAGGACCCTCTTCTTCACCGCCCGGTGGGTGGGTCGGTGCAGATGTTATTTTCCGCCGTGATATTCCCAAGAGGGAGCAGTCCGAGTCAACTATCTCCAAGAGATGTTGCCGGCTGCCTGAAGATATCCATTGCGAAAAGCTGCCTCGGTAGTGCAGGGTGCAACTGTCGTGTCCCATAAGGCCATAAGAGATTGAACTAGCAGGGTGTTTGGGGAGATGAGCCGATTGAAGCCTAAAGCTGACCGGAGAGCCTCTACACACTCCTTGGGGGCTTCCAGAATCTTCGACAATCCGTGCTTTCAGCTCTCCCTTGTCTCCTCCTCTCTAAACGGCTCCTTCGCCACTCCTGTCCTTGTCGGCTCAGGGCCCGAGCTGCAAAAAGCGCTGGGCCTCCTGGTGGCCTCGAGGCGGCGGAGTGCTTCGCTGAAGGGTTCAGGGTTCCAGGTTCGAGGCTTTTGGGCGCCGGACGCCTGACAAGGTTTCCTAGTTTCAAGCTTCAGGGTTGGGACGGGGGGCCGTGCTGCCCGCAGCATTTGCGGT